CTTCGCGTGTACGCACCGGAGATACCTTCTTGTGGGATCAGCCACTTTAAAGAGGAGTACTCCAGGAGGATCGACGATTCTGAGACACTTGATCGTCGAGACATAATGCGTCAGAATATCTTTCGTATCTGCGCCCGGGTGAAGGAGTCGTTTATTGTTACTGAAAATTACAATCAGTCATTACTGCAGTTGACAATGATGGACGACAACGTACGCTTGCCGTAGTGCCTGTACGAGGTCCGCACGTTCGTCGACACGTGCCAAGCACTCCTGCATATAACACAGAATATTAAGAATATATTGACCACAGCATTCATACCAACCTTTAGGTCCTGGAGGGCGCCCGCAGAATCCGGGAAATCGACGATAATGTCAAAGATTTCCTTCGTCCTACAAATGAAAATTTGGCAACTTAAGGCTGAAAACAGATGATCTCACCTTAGGTTGCAAAGCGTCTTATGCATGTGGAAATCAAACCTTGACCCTACGCCTTGCATCATCGTTTTAGCCTCATCCGCTAAGTGATTTGTGAGTCAGAAGCTGGGATAACCAAATTATAAATCACCATTGGTTGCTCCTCTTGCAAACGGATACAGCATCCATGGCACAATCTTGTCGACCATCCAGGCCCGAAGGGTCGCAAGTACAGGTTCTGACCACTTTCCCGCACACGTTTCTTCCACGTACGATTCGATAAATTCGTATCCTATACTTGCGATAAGGGTTTCATAGCGATCGATGAGGCTAAGAGTATCAAAGGCTTGCCACAGGACGCGGTCCTGAGGGTCCTGCGACTGGGATACAGTACGCTGCAGCGTGGCTGAAACAACAGCCTTGATTCCCCGAGCAAAAGATGGAGGAAGAACAGAAAAAATGTGAGTTTGGAACGCAAGAGTGTAGGCGGATATCATTGTTGGTCCCAGACTAAGTTACATCAAATACATGTTAGGCTTGGTAAGGTGCATGGTACGTACTCTGCAGTTGGTTTCCACGCGTTGTACCACTCGACCAAACGATATACAAGTGAGCGTATTGCTTCTGGATCGGAGTTACTCTGCGATGAAACATTGAGCGACACGACAAATTGCAGGGATGCAGAAACTCTGACCTCGTAAAGCGTCATATATGCCTCAACTTCTCGGGTGATCAAGTGTTGGCTCTTTCGCATATCCTCTTCATCCCTCAGAAAAAATGCGACATCATAAATTAGCAGTCTCACCAAGGAAAACCTCCATCATGACAGGCAACCTCCTGCACTCGCCGACAACGCCAAATGCTGCCCTCACTTTATTCAGGTCTGATCCAGACTCAGCAAAATACAGCGGAGTGCTCAGATTAACAGACCATATTGCTTTGGTGGCGCAGGGTCGCTCAAATCTCGCGGTTTAAGAAACTCTATGGCCAGAGTCCATGCCTGCACAAACGCGAAGTTAAATCTATGCATATAAATTCTAATGACATACCTCGCTAAATGTCATTAAACCAGATATTCCTGGCTCGTTGCGATTGAGGCGATTGAATGACTCTTGCCATTTGGCTGCAACTTGTGCTCGTACAGCAGCTGATGCCATCACAATTAAGTAGTACTATGATGGCTTTTACTCCGGAATGTCTATGCATCTTCGGTTGGTAAGATTATGTAACGATGCATTAAAAATCCGTTTATCGCGAGTTATAATAGTGGCTGGCTGACTTTGCGCAGGGTCTCAGAATGCACTGATCAAGTCCAATACTCGATGCGAAACGTACTACTACATCATGGAAAGAAGCACAGAGTGTAAGGGCGTGGACACGAAAATAGTCAGCAACACTGGGTTGACGGGTGTAAAACAAGAAACACTGGAGACGCATTACATTGGCCTATCAATAACTCCAAACCCCGTTCGTACCTCCCCTGTACAGCTCATAACATGAAAAAGGTTGCAAAGCCAAGCACAATCGCAATAGCTAGCCACATGACCAACGATGAAGACTTTTCAAATCTGTGTTGCATTGCCAGCCTCGCAACAACCAGCTGGGAGGGAGGGCCTTTAGCACCGGCGTCATCGATGGCAGCAATTTCTTCAGCAGTGAGTGGGGCTTCATGATCTGAATTAGATTAATGTCACATTTCATGGTTCAAGACATACGAAGATCTTCAACAGCGAGGTACTCTTGAAGGCGTTCCTTGCTCCGGGTCGTGCTTCGGTGATGAAGGTTAAGTAAGACACGAAAATTACATAGAAAGTAGATAGACATACGTGACGATTGATACACCTTTACTTCTGACCCAGGAGAAAATCACTTGATTCGGAGTTGCGCCTATGCGTTTAGCAGCGGCGTTAACAACCGCATCCACTGGTCCTCCAGGATTCTGCGTAATAGAACTGGCCATGCAGATTTGGAGCGGTGAATTATTTGGAGCAGTCTGAGGACTTACTTCAAACTTCCATATGCTTCCACTATGATATTCCGTTTTGAGCAGTATTCAAGCAAAGCTTTATGTGACGCATAGTTGTATGGGTGGAATCTGATCTGCTCGACAAAGTTCATTGGCTGTACTGGGAGTAAGTAGACGAATCTACTTGGTTAACGGCAGGTTTCGTGACCGCAGTCTTGAGAAGTTTCTGGAGGTCCTCTAAGGTAAAGTTGCTGACGCCAATGCTCCTGATAACTATGAAAACCAGGGAGACACGTTCAAATCGGAAAGGACACACCTTGTTAATCCGTCTTTCTTCATCTTCTCAAGCTCTTGCCATACGGACTCAGAAAAGAGCGCCGGGAAGTGCACCAGATACAAATCAACATAAGAAATACCAATCTCAACGAGCATATCATTGAGTTTTCCGGTTTGTTGAGGTGAGTAATATGTGATTGCTGACCTTGTTCAGACTTTGGTGAATAGCTTGCTGTGATTTCCCAGGACCACTGTATTTGGTGGTGATATACAGGCTCGAGCGAGGAAGACCGCTTTCCTTAATAGCCAGGCCCACGTAGGTTTCTGTCTGATAAACTTTATACAAGAACAAATTTTGGGACATGAGGTTCTTTTCATCGTTGCGATTGGAACTTAGAAGTAACATACACTGTGCGGTGTCGATATGAGAAAATCCATTCTCGATAGCCTGGCCCACGTAGTCTGAGACATCCTTGAATTTCATGGTGGACCCTGTGCCGAAGGCTATTGTGGGGAACTAGGACGCAGCACAGGACATATCAAGTCTTGGCATGGTAATGCAAACTTTCATGAAATACTACGATACCTCATTTCCATCGTTAAGGGTGACAGTACCAAATGGCATAGCTGGGAGTAGATAGGGAGGGAAGTGCGATGGTCATGAGAGCATGGTAGAAGTTCAAAGACATCCCAGCATCCGATTCCGATTCCGAGTCTTATCACAGCTGTTTTCAAATTTGTCTTGAAATGCTCTGAGCGCGGGGAAATTAGGACCTTTTGTTAGACTCTATCTTCCGGACCGCATGACAATGGAGGGCCCCGTCACGCCATTCGTCCCGTTAAATGAATTCTCTCCAGAGCCAGACATAGTGACAGAAGACCAACATACGCATTCACCAGTGCGAAAGCGAGCGCGCCATACTGGTAGCATCAGCAACACAGCATCCGAGTCTAGACAATCTCCTGTCATGGTGTTGGAGGAATCGAAGGCTCCCGTGAGGGACGATGCATACTACATGGCTGATGGGAGCTGCATTCTTCGTGTGCAGAACACGTTATTCAAAGTATGATCTGAAGTGAGGTTCATGCCCACGAACTGAATGATTTGTGGTGCATTAGGTCCATCGCACAATCTTGTCCAAGGATCAATCATCCTTCGGGCCTATGTTTACACTCCCACAAGGTGAATTCGGGGAAGAAGGGGTGTCAGATGATCATCCCATCGTTCTGCAGGGAGATACCACGGAGGAGTTCAGACATTTCCTCTGGGCACTCTATGCCCTGTGAGTGTCATTTAAGTGTCTGCAAGGTCCATCTTTCTCATACTCGAGTATTGGCTCATAACAGACCTTCAGAACTAATGATAGTCCAGTCTCCAAAAGCCGATCTTAGCCGACTAATAGATATCGCGAAGGTGTCCAGCAAGTACTCTTTCAAGTCGACAGAAACATGGGCATTGGACGCAATCCAAGAGTACCTTGAACGGAACACATCCCCCTTCTTCAACGACAACCCTCTAATTCGCATGTTCCCCACCCTAAACACTCGCTCTTCGGCTCTTTTGGAAAGTGAAGGTCAAATTGCTCGCTTGATCAGACTTGCTCAGATGTGTTCGCACTCACGTCTGATGGACACGATGATTCAACTTCTTCAAAAGCTAATGTCTGGCTCTTTGCATCATTCATATCTGGCCATGACCCTCGCGGATGAGTTTGACCTTAGGGACTTGCGAGGCGCGGCGTATCTCGAAGTCATGCAAACGTCGGTCTTTGTTTGCCCCGGAGTGGCTAATGATCACACATACGTGGAGGGTGACATTCAGGAAACGAATGAGGGGCCGCAGCGGCTGGTGGTCAGCCCGGTGCAGCAGCTGAGACTTCTGTCGGGATACCACCGCCTTTCTAAGGCATGGGACAGATTGCGTGCTGTCCCTCCGCAGTTCGAACACTCGCCGTCCTGCGGTGCGACGTGGCACCAACATGGATGCACTCAGAGCTGGACAGATTTCTGGAAGGAGAAGACGAGGTCAGAAGGCGTGCTATCTCTCGGCTGCGCAAATGTCCTCGGGAGATTGGGCATCATTATCAAGGAGTTTGACAAGTGGGGATCTGCAACATATATGCACCACGATTGCAAGTCTGCGGCAAGACGGTCTATCCACGAGAAGGTGAAGCAAATGCAGCAAGCGTTGCCGGATTATTTTACAGAAGGTGGTGAATATTAATGTCCATCTGACTCGATATAATACATTCCATACGTACTACTGCTAGTTATTGTACTTGTACGAATTTCTGTTGTTGAATAAGCAGGTTCGTCAATAGAATAGAAACGGCCACGACATAAGTCAGGTTGTCCCTAGTCGCCCTTTCCCGGCAGCGGTCCTCATACTGCTGGAAGTGGGAGTCGCATGAGTAGTGTTGCGTCTATTCCAAGGACCATCTTGTATGTGGCTTGCTTCGTTTCCTATTGAGGCGCCCATCATGTTCTGTATCAAGTTCTCCACGTTGTCAGCTGAAGGTAGTTGTTCCTTTCCAATTTGAGAACCGTTTATGACTGCTTGCTGAAATATTTCATCCTCCTCTAGCTGTTGAACACGCTGTCGGAAGCCACGTAATATTTCCTCAAACAGCACTAGCTGGAACGATCAGCAAAGGAACTAGTGAAACAAGGATGAAGTTCAACACACGCTTCTGTTCTTGCGGATCGCTAGGACAAATTATCAAGGGATCTTTCAAGCTATGGACTTCATCATGTTTCGGTTCATCAAGTCGAAGGCTGGCGATCCACTTTCGCTCGAAAACATCCTGATTCAATCCCGAGTCAGATAGAGACGTGTCATCGGGCCCGTATGCGGTTCCCACAGAACTTGCAGGAGAAGGAGGACGAATTACAGGAGAAGCATATGCAGGGTCGCCAGCATGGATCTGTTGAGTGTGTGGCATCAGAAACCCTGGACTAGCGGATACTATGAATGAGTCAGAACAAAGTCGGACCCTAAGTCGCTCGGATGCTCGCGCAAGCAAGCCACAACAACACGGTACGCGATTTTCGTTGATTAGCGTGTCTAACTCGTGACATTTTAAGTAAACGTGCCAGAAACTCTTTGTCTTCAGTCTTGTTTCACACTTTGATATATGCACACACGTACATACCAGCCTGAACGTTTTGAATGGCACAGTGGGAGAAGAGCTCACACTTACATTGAATTTACATTCGTTCAATTCTTGTTTGCTGAACGCGTGACGGATTCTGATTATCAATCCTATCTGGGTTGTTTGGCTGAGTAATGCACACGCCACTTAAATTCTTCGCGACGCGTCTTTCCTCTCCTTCATCTCGCCCACTACCAGACTCAGTTTTCTTGTGCTATTTTCCTCCTGCTTGATTGTAATCATTGAGGAACAACATACCATGGCTTTCGTGTTCAAAAGAGGTCAGTTGTTCCTGAGTTTGGTGTACAGTAGCTGATTGTGTGTTCCTCTGCACAGATGGGTAAGCAAACGCACACCGAGAACATTTGTTTCAACACCATCTAACGCGTTATTCACGTGTAGTCGCAAAGAGGACGTTAAATTTGACAAGGTATGTTCCCACTAAGCTGTATAGTGCGTCGCTCACTGCTTGGGTAGATCACAGCAAGGATAAACAAGCTTTGTTATGGCCTTGACCTTAACTATGTCGAGCCGATCGAGTTAGTCGACAGCTTTGTCAATTTCATGTAACTAATTGCTCCGCAGGGTTGCCAAAAAAGTCATCACAGGTGTATACCAAGGCGTCACAACCGTTGAGCTCGATGTAGGTGTCTATGATATTTTGCCCTGTTCACTCATTGACCTGAGATAGAACCTTGCCGCCGAGACGGCAGCCTATCTTACTACGAAGCACCCTGACTACGCTGTCCTCGCTGCGCGTATCGCAATATCAAATCTCCATAAAGAAACCAAGAAGAACTTCTCCACTGTGGTGAAAGACCTCTACGAATACAGTATGTTTCCACATCTTTGGTGTGCGTTTTGTATTTGACTTTTCATCGTCAAGTTAATCCTAAGAATGGAAAATCTGCTAGTTTGATCGCTGATGATGTATATGAGGTTGTACGAAAGAATGCTGCTCGTCTTGATTCTGCAATCATCTATGACCGTGACTTCAGTTACAACTAGTGAGCACGATCGTCAAGATGTACGATGATATTGTACTGATCCTTTTTCAGCTTCGGCTTCAAGACTCTCGAGCGGTCATACCTTCTGAGGATCAATGGTCGTGTTGCCGAACGTCCCCAACATATGATCATGCGTGTTGCTGTGGGCATTCACAAAAACGATATTGAAAGCGTGATCGAGACGTACAATCTTATGTCTGAACGATTCTTCACACACGCGTCACCAACTCTGTTTAATGCTGGCACTCCTCATCCCCAACTTAGCTCATGCTTCTTGGTGTGCATGAAAGATGACTCCATAGAGGGTATCTATGATACCCTCAAGACTTGTGCCATGATCAGCAAGACCGCAGGTGGAATCGGCTTGAGTATTCATTGTATTCGTGCTACTGGGTGCGTTAAATTAATTCATGGCATTTTGCTCAAGCAGTAACATTTTGCCTTATAGCTCGTACATTGCTGGAACAAACGGCTACTCGAATGGCATTGTTCCTATGCTTCGCGCATATGATGCCACAGCACGCTATGTCGATCAAGGTGGCAACAAGCGGCCGGGAGCTTTCGCGATTTACCTTGAACCATGGCACCCTGACATCTTCGATTTCCTCGACCTGAGGAAGAACCATGGTAAAGAGGAGTCGCGCGCCCGTGACTTGTTCTACGCACTGTGGATTTGTGACCTGTTGTATGTGTTCGACCGTAATCCCCTAGCCACCCTAACACTCCCTTATCAGCATGAAACGCGTCGAATCCAATGAAAATTGGTCGCTAGTTCTGCCCAAACGAAGCGCCTGGTCTTCACGAGGTTCATGGCGAGGAATTTGAGGCTCTATATGAGAAGTACGAGATAGAGGGACGCGCACATAAGGTCATTCCAGCTCAAAAGCTGTGGTATGCTATCCTTGAAGCTCAGATTGAGACTGGTGGTCCTTTCATGGTCTACAAAGATTCCGCTAATCGTACGTCAAATGACTTCGCGGCACTTTCTTTGCTCACAATCATCCGTAGGCAAATCGAACCAAAAGAACTTGGGCACCATCAAGTCGTCCAACTTGTGTACTGAAATCATAGAGTACTCGTCGCCGGAGGAAACCGCCGTCTGTAACCTTGCCTCTCTCGCTCTCCCTACTTTCATCTCGAACGGCAAGTACGATTTCCAAAAGCTTCATGATGTCGCGAAGGTCGTCACCCGCAATCTTAACCGCATCATCGATGTAAATTACTACCCCGTTCCGGAGGCTCGCACTTCCAACATGCGCCACCGTCCCATTGGTCTTGGTGTCCAGGGTCTCGCAGATGCTTTCATGATTCTCCGTCTACCATTTGACTCACCGGAGGCAAGGCAACTCAATCTTCAGATCTTTGAGACCATCTATCACGCTGGACTCGAGGCCAGCTGTGAGGAAGCTGAAAGGGATGGGCCATACGAGACTTTCAGGGGTAGTCCCGCCGATCTCGGTCAACTGCAGTATGATCTCTGGGGTGTCACTCCCTCTGACCTTTGGGATTGGACCAGTCTCAAGGAAAAGATCGCACAAACTGGATTGCGGAATTCATTGTTGGTTGCACCCATGCCAACTGCATCAACTAGTCAAATTCTCGGTTTCAATGAATGTTTTGAGCCCTACACCAGGTACGTTTGACTTCCTTGTCACGTCTGTGCAAGCTGACGCGTTCGATTAGTAATATCTACACTCGTCGTGTTCTTGCTGGTGAATTCCAGGTTGTATGTCCCTGGTTGCTCAGGGACCTTGTCGATCGTGGGCTCTGGAATGACTGACATGAAAAACATGATCATTGCTCATAATGGCTCCGTCGCCAACATCCCCAGCATACCAAATGATATTAAAGCCATTTACAAAACCGTTTGGGAGATCTCACAGAAGAAGGTTATCGACCTCGCTGCCGACCGTGGAGCATTCATTTGTCAGAGTCAGAGTTTGAACATTCACTTGCAGTCGCCTACTGTAGGCCAACTGACTAGTATGCACTTCTATGGCTGGAAGAAGGGCCTCAAGACTGGCATGTACTATTTGCGTACTCGTCCGGCGGCGCAAGCCGTTCAGTTCACTATCGACCAGAGCGTGCTCAAAGCAGCCAAGGTGCAACAGGGCGAATCCGGCAAGGCTGCCACTGGCATTCCTACCCCTTCCGCCTCTCCATCCCCTCTTCGCCGAGTTCCTCCACCATCTAATTCGAATGACAACAGGTGTTGCGCCGAGTTCGTCGAGCCCCAGTGAAGCTCCTGATGTTGACCCCGAGTATGCCGCAGCCCTTGAGCGTCAAAGGGAGCGTGAGCTCGAAGAGGCAAAAATGCTGTGCTCGCTGGAGAACAAAGAAGCCTGCCTCATGTGCTCTGGTTAACGGAGGTGGTATGCTGTTGGCGTGGTCGGTATTTATTTGCATCGTCAGAAGTTATTCAATCATGCATTCCTTGTCCTTTGTTACCCACATTTGTTCTCATTTCTCGGCACGATTGTATACCAGCTGTTGTAATTGTAATTAAATAGATGGATTTCGGTCTGTCCCCAATCTGACAATAAGGATATACACTAGTGACAGAAACTATAAGCATACAAGGAAAACGTATAATGTAAATAACAGGGTAGCGTCCTATGGTATATAACACAACACCAGCCTCCAAAACGGTGACAATACACCCACTGACTATAAGGCCACAATTATAGTCGATTGACAGTCAGGATCGCAATGCGTCCATCTTGTGCAATGGCATGATTGATTCCTGAATGGCAAGTCAAGAATGACCACGTAGTGAAAAGGAAAGAAAGCTGCTGACCTTTGTATCCTGGTTCGAGGAGGCCGCTCCGCCACTCCACATCAGCCTGCCACCACCTGCCATTCCAATGGCTGACAGATGCAGCGGCTTCGACGAGGAAATCGCGACCGATGTTATACCCGTCCGGGATTATCATATGGTTTTTAGTGGAGTCCTGCCAGAAATAAATATGGTTCCTAAGTTCTACTCGCGTTCTACTCACCATTTCCTTGGAGACACTGGGAATGGAGTATCAGTAGTGGTAACTAGAAACGAGGAGTTTGGTGCTTACGCCAAAAACCATGCTCCCGTATCAATTTCTGAGCCATTCTGCTTCCAAGCGCGGAAGTGGTTTCCTCCTAGATACCGAATCACGAAAGATTTCACGAAACGTGGAGGAAGACGAACCTGCTATACTTTCCCAGCATGTTCCCCACTTAGGGAAGTAGTATTGCCTTGCTAGAATATGCTCGGATTTCTTGCTATCGCCGTCACCGAGGTCTGCCTTGTGGACATGACCATAATGAAGTCCTAAACACTCCTCAGAAAACCCGATGGACCTTGCAAGGCACATCAATGGGGCTCGAGCATGAAGCAACAGGTGGCCCACTTGTAATACAGACGGAAGCCAGCATCCGTCAAAATGAAGGGATCTGACTGGTTAGATATGATGACATTTAGCGGTTCCCCGTATCTGGGAGTCGTGAACTGCAAGTAAACTTGAACATGACTGGGATCGTATAAGTTCACGAAGTACTTACGTCTAGAAACCGTCCACCATTATGACGTGGATCGGTCCAACCAATCTCAGCTTTAGGAAGTTCTAATGTAGTCCCAAATATGTATTGTAGGGTATCCATGAAACGGGTGGGGAGTGCCAGCGCAGAGGTGGCCAAAACCAGAAGAATGACGCTGGACTTGACCATAACGAGAAATCTTCAGTCTTGAGAAAGACTTGTTCAAGGTGGTCCAGGTAAGCGCAGCAGAGATTCATGTTCTCAGACTCGTGTAGTATCAATGCGAGTGAGCATGGCAACCACGTGGGTGCTATGGCTGTGATTGGCGCTTCTGAGTTTCCTTCGCCAATCACGTCGTCAATATTCGACATCATGTCCAGCACTGAGAGGACTGATTTTGAAGAACATATCACCGATGGTTCTATCGTAAATGATCACAGTGAATTCGATGACGACGATGCCGATGCCGATACTGCTTCTCAGCGCTCAATTTCTCTTTCCTCTCCTCCACATTCGCCAGGACACGACCACAATGCTGCTCTACGCCCTCAGGATTTTTTTGCTAGACGTGGATCACAGGATGACTCTTTAGATATTGATTTCAACTCAGAAATGGACGATGTAAGCGACTCTTTCAGCGAGAAGAACGCTCGGCGTGCTAGTTCGAATGCATCTGCGGCTCCTTCTGCAGCTCTGTTTGACGAACCGAAATTCAACACCCCACATGCTATGACTTATCCGCCAACCCTTTCATCAGGTGCAACGGACACAGATTCATTCACTTCTGCAGCTTCTTCGTATTCGAAGAAAGCACGGCCGGAGTCTATGTTGCTACAACCTCCCGAAGGCCCATTAGTCCTAGGCATTGCACTCATAGACTTCAATCATCTGGTATGATGATTAAACTTACCTGCGTTACTTTCGAAGCTCATACGACTTAGGTTGGTCCGAAGATCGAGTTCTGCCATGGCGACATTTTCGAAGATGAAGAGATCTTCAAGATACTTCCCTTCCTGGCCCTTCCAGACGGTGCACATATGGTAAGCACAACGAAGCGTGTGCACAAAACTGCTCTCATAAATACCCTCATACAGTCTTTAGAAGATTATTCTTACTTTCATCTTGTTCCAAATGCTCCAATACCTACCACCATCTTTGGCATCTCGTGCGGATTATTCTAAATCGTTATATGCGTGTCGGGCCCTAACTTTTGGTCTACAGATGTAATCGCCAAATACCAGCCTCTGTATTACTTGTTAAAGATGTAGATGTAACTCGGTCAATTGTTCAAAAGGCTGTCGTGGTCCTGGCATCGAAGCCAGTCTTTGGCCCCATTCGGTTGGTCTGCAATGCCACGTACATACCCTTTGACTATATGACTTGTTAGGGATCGCTTGGGTGTGGTTACACGTGCACTGTTTGAACAACGGTGAGCTTGAAAGTCGCCTTGATGAGCCAAGTCTAACGTTGCTTTCATAAGCGACTTCTCGGATACCAGTATTCTGGTAGATTTCGGCGCGTCGCTGGAAATCTCCCTTCGCACACAGCTAACCGAAAGCGGATTGTATATTGGTGTGTCGGGAGAGCTCGTCAAGACGATTTAGGCACATCTGATCTCTTTGTATTCATGCAGGCACAAGCATGTGAGTTGCGTTAGTACTGACCATCCTGAGAAGCTGACGTGGGTAGCCGGGAGTTTGTCCACACCTTCCGCCACCGCACGCTTATTCTATTGAAAGCCCTCATGTGTCAGAAGAAGGTTTGTTGTAAACATTGAAAACGCGATCCATATTGAATAAATTCTAGATTATGTTCTTCGGTCACCCAGTGGAACGATTGTGTACTTACCAGTACTCGCTCATATCATTGATCCCTGGTAATGTTTTTTTTTCTTTTTCTTTCTTGATCCTCGAATTCATATTCAGGCTTATTACAAACGCTGGAGGATTCCGGATCCCCGCCTCTCGCAGCACGTGCACCCACACTTTCATGCCCACAATCGTTACAAACTTCAGATCGCAAAAGTATGATGGCATATATGGGTCTACCGCTAGATATTTTCGGCAAGGTATGCTCTGCGCTGCACAACAATGTGCAAAGCTGACCATGTGGTTCAGGATGCGTTCTTCCAACCGTACTTGCCCTTGCAACAGTTGGACCTCTTAAAGGATTCACAAGGCTGGCTATGCGGGAGTACGAACACTATCGTGACTCAGCAGAAGGAGGTTGAGTTGTTTATTAATGTTGGTCTTTAGATGCCATCGAAGCAACTCGATGCTCACCTTTGCTTTCCAGACGGAGACAGCCACACTAGAGTTTCGAAATTCTAGGTTGGAGCGGCTAATGGGTCTGACAGCTGCCGACAGAAAATGGATGGATGAGATTGTTCGAGACGTCAATGATGCCTGGGACGATGCAGATCCAATGAAGCCTACCATGCAGTGTGTCACATTGTGGAATTGCCCGGTTCCAGTTCTCATATGTTTGACAGCTTCAAAGGCAGTGATGATTACTTGCGAGCCAAGGTTGCGTTAGCTTATGTGTCAGATGCGATTTGACTTATATTCTGCAGTTCGAAGAGTACGTTTCCGCCGCGCTCGCATCTGTTCGATATAGAGAGTTCCTTGCAAAAGGGAAAGTGAACAATGTGATCATTACTGGAACAGGTAAGTGTCGAGCGTGTACAACAATAATCAACATTCACAACATTCGTGCAGGAGGGGATGATAACTCGATCGACGACTTCAATCCACTTTGGATTGCCGAGTTCACCAAAACCAATGCATATGATGTGTGGCAAAGGTCTACAGACCCTATGCTCTTCGACATTGTCGAGCCACGGTTGGACAACTTGTTCCAACGATTCTCTCAAACACTTAGTTTTACCCCGACAGTCACCCGTGCAACGAGAAGCCCACTGTCGTTGGAGACATTGGAATACGATTGTCCGAAGGACTTCAAGAACTGAAACTAGAGCAACAACTAGCTCCGACACGAGACGCCATTTCACGCACCATCACCGCTAGTTCAACGAATTTTTTCAAAGCAGTCGAGGGCGTCCGTGGGCGGTGGCAGCAGCAGCGCACCACCAGCTCTGCTTCATTCAGCTCCGATCTTGCGAGCAGCATGTACGAGACCCCAGTGGAGGTTTCAAAATTGGAAGCGGGGCTGTCTTCGTCCCCCGTTTCTGAGGGGAGCAAGCCTAGTCCTGATATCAGCAGACAGACGTCGAGAGATTCCGTGCTAGGTACACTTACGCGGCCCGTAAGTGTTGCCCAAGCCGCCTCAGAAGCAAAGGCAGCGTTGGGAAACTGGGGTGTAGGTCTGCAGTCTTTCTGGTCCGGCCGCGCTTCACGGTTTTCCATGTCTCGCTCGAGCATTACGAGTGTAGCATCTACAGATTCGTTATCTAACTCAGGCACAGTACAACTTCCAACATCGCCGATATCGCCGCGCCCGAGCGTGGGTACTGTGGAGGAGGAATCGGAGCATGATTTGGATCACAAGGGATATGAGTCGCAAGAGCCAGGTGGGATTGCTCTTTGAACTGGTTTTGAACCTCATCACACATAGACCTATGTACTTCATTGCATCGCAGTTACAGTTCGCGCAATGTTTGTAATTGACATGAAGCAAAGACGCAACCATGCATCATGAGCCTAACCCAACTGTCACAATGAAGATAGTAGACCTCCTGAGCTCTTTCCCGACTAGAGGGTACCATTTTCTTTTATAGTTGGCGTTTCTACTTTGGTGGCTGTTTGACCCGCTTAACATGCCCCCATCTTCACATGAAATATCATGTCACATTTAGATAAAACTTGTCTCCAATTCTGCACTTTGCATGATCGATCGAGTTCGCTGTTGCCCACAGCGAGTGGCTTGGCTGTCGCCATCTGATGGATCAATCATTTTGCTCTGAATCACGAACGTGAGATCAGGTCCACAGATGCCGATGATGATCCCAATGAGGCCAGATTCTTTACTATACCAGAATTATGTGTACTTGGAGTACATCATGGATGCATAATATGACGTACGAATAATTGCCTTCCGTCTCCAGTTACTCACACGCGTACGGATCTTTACCATGTCCGTGTACAACCGTGTAGTCAAAACTGTCGTCCGCTTGACTGTGCGTGCCAAAACAGTTTCAGTTTCTCGGACAGTATTTGTATACATTATGGGAACTCTTGCAAGAGGATGCTATCAGCAGTGTCGGTAGGCATTAGCCTGCGTTAGTGTGACGGTGTACATATGGGCGGGAAACTACCAGAGTTGGAGCGACCCATTTGCATTAACTCCCATGAGTCAAATCTAACTGATGTCGAAGTCCACCAAATTAGTTGCATGACGATCGATCAGACGAAGCAGGCACCTTCGACATGAAATCTTATAGAGCGTGCACCAAGTGTTTGGATACAGAGCAACCAACCGATCCGGACAAAGGCCCAAGGGTCGTGCAGAGTTCGAACGACACAATAACGGGGTTGACAACGCAGTCCAAAACTAGATTTCCATCGCACGTCGTCATGACTGGGCGTAAAAATATACCTGAACAGTGAATGATGATGCTAGACAAGAGAGAGTCACGCCTAGACACGTAAGGTGGTATCGCATACGTTAGGTCGTTGTGATGGGTGCTCAGCAACGTTGTGACATATGCTACGCGGTATCCAGATGATGGTCTCTATAAAGAATACAACTATAGGCTGTGAGCGTAGAAGTTTAATCATCAGCATCTGAGTAGGCTACATACCTGCAAAAATAGTGCTGGAGATAAGCGATGACTCGGTGCCGACTTGCCCGTCTGCCTCATCAGTCAAGGGAGAAGCTGGTAGCAAAAGACGCTTGTTCCATAGACTCGCTGGACTGCACAGCATGCAGTTCCATGCTTGGTTAAGATGTGATGGATTGATATCAGTACACGCCAAAGTTCGAGGAAACTCACGATATAAAGTAAATCATGATGAGACTCTGGCGTGTCTCCTACGCAAACTGCCAACCGTGTGACCATAACGTTGAAAAGGCCCTTTCAACCAAGGTACTGTAGTTATTGAATGGTTTCCAGCCAGGACGCACCGAACGACGAAGCTGAGGTATGCATTAAGTCACGATGGCCACTGTTCAACGTTCAACGTTAATATTGATATGTAGCTTATGTAATCCACTCGAGCCTTCTAATTCTAATGTGGTCGACTCAGAGTTTTGAACGTTCTGAACATTGAAGCAACTGCCTGAGCCCAGCCTTGCAAGTTGGCCTTGGCGATCAAGAGTTGATACATGGCTACACCAATCCGCAAGAAGCGCAACTTCAAGGCTTTGCAGCTTGATGTGCCCGCGAAACCAAAGGAACCAGAGCCAGTACCCACAAGGGTTGCTCCCGCAACTACAGCGGCGAAGGGCAAGAAACGACCTCCACCTATGACACTCAACGCCCCGAAATTGGGAGTATCTAACGCCGTTCAGGATCCAGATGGAAATCTTGCAAACGCAGCAGGCGCGCCTACTTGCACCATTCCCTCAGCTTCTGCAAATACGCGGAGAAATACATACCACACTCACCTTTCCAACACGCTAGCAAACCTTGATATGAATGCCGAGACGCGTTACGATCTTCGTAATGAGGATCTAAAAGACCTTCAGGAGCTTGGCCAAGGCAACGGCGGGAGCGTCAAAAAGGTAGAACATACACCCACCAACACTATCATGGCCAAGAAGGCAAGTATATCTATGTGTCAGATCTATATGTCTTTTTAACTGTTACTTCTAGATTGTTCTCATTGATGCGAAGCCTTCCGTGCGGAAGCAGATTCTCCGCGAACTTCACATTATGCATGATTGCCATTCGCCATACATCATCTCATTCTATGGCGCATTTCTTTCTGATCCAAATATCTGCATTTGCATGGAGTTCATGGACAAGGGTTCTCTTGATGGAATTTACAAGAAAATCGGTGCTATCGATATTGAGGTCGTCTCCAAAGTTGCGCTGGCCGTGCTCGAAGGCTTAACCTATCTATATGACGTACACCGAATTATTCATCGTGGTGAGCTTAAACACGGACAGCCTTGGTTTTTTTCATCGAGGTTGACGGTTGCATTAGATATCAAACCGTCGAATATCTTGTGCAACTCGCAAGGTCAAATCAAGATATGCGACTTTGGTGTTTCCGGTGAACTCATAAATTCCATCGCCGATACCTTCGTAGGAACCTCAACCTATATGAGTGTGCGTCTGTATTTCTTGCGTCTTCCTTACCAAATCTATAAGGCTATCCCAAACAGCCCGAGCGGATACAAGGTGCACAGTACACCGTCAAGTCTGATGTGTGGTCTTTGGGCATTTCTCTCATAGAACTTGCCCTAGGACGGTTCCCCTTTGCCGATTCAGATCCGGATGACTCCGACCTTTCCGACTTTGAAGGTACCTTGTCGCCTGGTTGCATCGGACTTCCACCGAAGAAAGAGAAAGACAAGACGTCAAAAAAGGACAAGCGGAAGAGCAAGGGTGTCAGCCTACAGGGAGGTGGAATGATGATGAGCATATTGGAACTGCTCCAGCATATCGTTAATGAACCTGCCCCACGACTGACACCAGAAGGGCGTTTCCCTCAGGAAGCAGAAGATTTCGTCGATAGCTGTCTGCTCAAGGACCCTGATGCGCGGAAACACGCCAAAGGATCTTTTGGTACTCCCTTCTTATTTGTTGCATCCGTCGTGTCCTTCTGACTGTGTCACCTCAGAAACATTCTTGGATAGACAGTGCCAGAGCATCAAGGTTCGATCTCGAGGTTTGGGCGAACACATTCTGAGTCCATTGTGTGATTCCCCTTGTATATCTCATATACCCCCTTATCCGCCCTCCCACGTCATATTAATTCATCCCTGCTGCCATTGCTCTGATTGCACATTCATCCTCGCGCGCGGTCTGTATTATAGAAAACCATGGAATAATATTCCTTCAGACAACTTGATGATTGGAAGCATGCGTCATCTATTTTGCGCCAAGTACGTGCTCTGAGGCGATGTTTCATCGCTCACATTTCCAGACTGCGAAGACCCCTCATCTGCGCTGTGCGATGCTTTTCCCACACCGCTATGTAATACCCGTGCTTCCTATGCCAGTGATGACTGTCATTCATTCATAACAGCACCAATATTCCACTGTCTGGTTCCCATTTTCAGTGCACGATCGGCGGGTTTCGAAGTCCCCTGAACATTGCTTGCCACATCCTGACCAAGCACCACTGCACCAGACAGTGTCGCTCGTCAGTGAGCCGGGAGTGGCTCGTGCGCTCAGAGAACTGACGGCTGTTAATGCTAGGAGGCTGATCGTTAAGAGATTCATCTAGGTCATTCCACATCGTAAGCTGGTTCTACAGGTTGGTGACTAACCCTTACCGTCAAAAACCACCTATAGTTAAATCACGGGTCTGTTGTTCGCCGGTGCCAGCGCTTACTGTTTGCCTGTTAGCATCTGATATAAGTAGCTGCTGCTTATAATAAACCTGAAAACAGCATTTGCGCCAGAACCACCCCCTGAGAAGAATGGAAGCTCTTTTGACGGCCCAATCATGTCCGCTGAGACGGGGTGCGATGATTTAACACAAAAGATGACTTCTAGTTTCGGGTGGGACCCGGTTGTGGCACCGCTATATATGATGGACCTTCTTGAAATAAGGTTTACATTTCAGCAGTTTCACTGTGGAGTGCAGCATGTCGATTCAATTGGAGGCAGTGTACGGCATGTACCATGAGGCTCTCTCCGCATGTCAAATATTACGATACACCTATTTCCTCTTCATACTTGCACTGCCAGGGAGGACTCCTGAGGGCTTCTGGATTGAAACTCTCAAATTTGTGGTGGCGTCCGGTGCATATGACCCTGAAGGCCGCATGCGTCAGGGCCGGACAACGGGGTGTCCAATTGATTCAAACGTGCGATAATTCCACGATCGAAGGCCGGCACAAGTAGAGGCAATTGCAGCATTTTCCGAGACTCACAGAATGCACGGTCGAAACACAAAAACTGGTACCGGCTTAAACGTGTGGTCACATTATTATTACAATCACAAAGCGAGTTATAGACAGGTCCGATGGAAGTCTCAGAATATTACAGGGCATAAACTCACTCAAACAGCGTAACGCTAATAATATCCCTCCGGGTATTCGTGTTACGGGTTTGAAAGGTTTCTATCGTAGATGTGCATCAATACGGGTGGATGAAGGTCCGGTCGTCGTCGTCATCATACATAAGCCACTTGATCGTGGAGGTATATCGCTCGTGGCTTGTATTTCAGGGGTATGTAGTCCATACGCTCCTCAACGGATGAATGAAATTTGGGATGCCGGTAGGGAATAACGCGACCTTTACCCAGATGGAACCTGTCCCCTAGAATTAAATAAGTTCCTCGCAGCGACAAGTAGCTCACCTCCATCTCTTGTGCCATTTGCCATGCGCATCTTGCCATGCACATGGAAGGGGCAAGATTTCAAGAAGCCACCAAGCCTTCTGAAGCTGCAACTGGTCGAACAAAGGAGCTAGAGCATCGCAAGTTTCAGGATTTGAAGGTGAGGGTGTAGTGGGGGGACCGGTGGGAGAGCTAGAAGGGGCGGGTGAGGGTACGGTTTCTACGAAAGAGGACACAACATCGATAGACACGGCACTGAGACGAGGGTTGTCCATCATCAGTTGTGACTTGCCGGTCGGTTCCTCTGTAGCAGGAGGCGTTGGTGAAGTAGGAAAGCTTGATAATGGCATGCTAACGCGCTCAAGAGCTTCCTCATCAAAAACGATGCCACAGTTAGACAGGATGACCTGCTCAACCATCCAGCGAAGAGTGATTTGCCCCAACGAGACTTTGACAGAGTTCTCAACACTTCCGCCACCTATGTCTGCTCATGTTGTGTTCAAAGAGAATTTGCAAGAACAAAACTTGTGGACGCTCACCACTATGGCATCCCGAGAACCAGACTTCCATGACATCTGTTGGCAGTGTCGGCTCTGTGTCAGGAATGTCAAGCACTTCCACACTTGTCTGGTCCTTGACGACAGTGGTTTCCCCAGGCTTGTCAATAACAATCTCGATTGTGCTCTGCTGGCGCAAGATCGTCTTGGTGAAACCACGCTTCAGTCCTTGAAACATCTTCTTCCCCGCGAACTTCTTCGCACGTTTCATACCTCGAGGGAGTTTATTCTGCAACGAACCAATTTCATCGGAAACATTGTCTTCCAAAGCTGTAACAATTTCAGATAATCTTGACATTTCGACAAAGTCCGGATCAGGTGCATCTGTGTGGGGACGACGGTAAAGTTCTGGCAGGAATTTAACGCGGTGCTATTGAAGATAGTCAGTACCAAGTTAAGCGGGTAATGGGCTTAATTGACCTCGTCGAGAGCCAAAGCTTGTCGAAATGTCTTGATCAAGGAATTAGAGTCTGCGAATGGGAGTGTCTGACTCCAGAGCACTCCAGTGCTTTGTACGGTCTCCCTGAAAACAAAAACAAAAGTTGGTTGTGGGTGGCTGGACATACTAGGAACAACTTACCAGACTCCTACGAACTCCACCTTGACGTCACGCGAAAATGTCTGCTTAAATCCTGCAGCAAGCGCATCTGCTTGTACGCCAGTCGTTTTATATGCATCGTAGGCAAAGCTAATTTGTTGGAGGTCGGATTTTGGAAGCAGTCCAACCTGTGACGAAGTCTTATTAAGGAAAGCAGCTCACATCTATGATCAACAATAACTGACCTTGTACAACATTCCCGCCAACGCACGTGCGGTATATGCTCCTCGAGAAAAACCTGTCTTGAGTTCAGTGAAATCTGTCGTACTCCCAAGGCGAATGTCTCACCGAAAAGACAAATCTTATCACCAGGCAGGTAGTTATCCATCAAGAATCTGTAACCTTCCATGACATGGGCGTCCAGATACCTGCATATACTCAAGCAACGTCGAACTTTATTTCAGCCTGCCGTACTCACCATGCAAATGCTTCATCCAAGATCTTCGCAAGCCAAGTGAACATGGGGGATACCACTCCAGGAGAAAAATACGTCCCAACACCAGCCTGGATAATAAGAGTGGATTTGAGTTCCCTTGCTGCGACTCGCGATCACATAGTGCAGTCGCTGGAGTTTATCCGTGTACGCACCTGGTAATAGCAGAGTTGGCTATCCGTATCTTTCTTTAACAATGAGACGAACTTGACGACATTCGTGTTCTAAGGGTGTGCCATTAGTCTCTGTATTCGCGATTGTGTATGATTTTTGGAGCCTCACCGCCGCATTGTAAAGCCCTGCGGTACCGTCAAAGCATGCAATCAGAATTTTCGGCTTCCTCGATACCTGGCTTCCGCCAGGGTTTGACATGATATCGAGCGGTCACGAACGAGAGAGTGGGAATATGCGTTCTGTGGGGCTGGGGGTGATGTGGTCGCTCACAGTTGTAGGAATACTCTACCAAAATTTACGACGGGGTGTTATCAGCTCGGAAGGGAACGTAAATTCTAGACCGAAACGAGACGGTTTGATTTTTGTAGCCTCCGGGGGAGGGGGCACAGGTGTACCAATCTGGTGTTCGGGGTTTTTCTGATCGGATGGTCCTAGTTGAAACGGCATAGTGTATCAGAAGAAGGAACCTCTGACACCGTCATATCGATTTGCTTGCGATCCACAGCTGCCCACTGTGGCTCGAAGTCAGATATAATGGTAGGTTCTGGTAAATACGTAAAGTAGCACTAGTCAATAAATGATATGGGCGCTAGGCTCGGGCCGGCACAGAGAACAGCGGAATCCCACGCTTCAAAGTCCGGGATGTTTCAAATTGCTCCACTCAGTCGATAGTCTTTCATGTTCCAAGCCTCGTGTAGTCCTCGTGCAGGACCGATTCAATTGTGCGCCTTTCTGCTCCATATAACACTCTTACTTCACAACCCGACTCACGCACACACACAAATCCGGCTCACTGGGAGGCGCTTGTATCAACCTTTCCTTGGCCTTGGAACTTACAGTCTCTTCGTCAGATGATCAGCCCCAGATCAGGCAAGGCAGAACTATGTCATGTGAAAGCACAATCTATATCTGGAACTTTGAGAAGCTATAGCTACACTTGTCTAAGAGAAAATGGGGTACTTCCAATGCCACTATCACCGAACGATGCCAGATCGGGCTTTCGACTATGCGCAGTGCTGTTTCCTGATCATCGCAAGTTCCTCAAGTAGCGTGCGGTGCCGATATGCTAGTCGAAGATTTGGCACGTTTGTCTGTCGTCGGTGAATACATAAATAACTCGAGTATATGGAAATAGCTCGCTTACCTTATGAATATCATTGCCTGCAGCGCCTGGTAAATACCACTCTTGACCGAGCCAGTGCCTTTTGATCTCCATCTCAAAGCCACTTTGGATCACAGAGTTGCGAGCGAGCTCTGCTAGTGAACTCTGAGGAAGCTTGTAGATCTGTCATGTAGGTAAGCCACCGGTAAATGTTGGATTGGTAATCGGTAAAAATATTACATGGGCTGCGACACTGTACTCTTCCAGTAGCGGTTCCTGTTACCACGATGTCCGAGTAAGCGAACAACAACGGTGTATCAGAGTCGGGGGCTCACCTTCGTAAAGTGGAATTGCAATGGGTCATCGGTGCTTAAACTCACATTCAACCCGACTTTGAAAAAGTCAGGAAGCGGATTGCGCTCATAGGTCAGGAACAGCGCATTATTACTCAAGG